ATTAACACCCATCTTGTGTGATGGTTCCCTGCCTGGGCAGCCCGGGGTAGGGGAAAGTTCTGCCTGTCAGTTTAGTGTTCAGAACCTTCCCAGAACACTTACCCCTGGCCTGGGTTCCACCCGGCCATCTCTACCAACCGGTCTGGCCTCTCTGTCACAGAAAGCTTTTCTTAAATATTTGAAACAGCCAGATAGGCTATCTGCCCACAGTCCCTCTTATCAGAATTAAATATGCCACCTGCCAGCTTCCTGGTGTTTTCACTGAAGTCCTTCCTGCCCAGGCCTGACCCTGCGCCCTGCCTTCCTTCTAGCCTGAGCAGTGCTTGGGCTGAAGAGGAAGGAGGGGCTGAGCCTCCTCTTGTGGGCCTTGGAGAGTGCACACTGACACCTGATGGTCTGAACTGCATCTTGCCCTTAGATATGGAGTCCACCACCTACCCTCTCAATGTGACCCTGAAAGAAGAGCAAGAGGAAGAAGAGATCCAGAGCCGGGAACTGGAGGATGTCCCCACAGACATGCAGAGAGTGAGAATCTGCTCAGAGGGTGCATGGGTGAGTAAGATGGTGACATGCAGGGTGAGGAACAGGCCTAGGAGCCAGGTTCCTCAAGCAGACGTGGGAAGTAAAGGTAGCCTAGCCCTGAGTGTTTGCTTTCCTGAGGAAACAGCCCTGCAGCTCTAAAAGGCAGTGCCGAGGGAGGAGGCCACGAGGCCTGTCATTAGGTGGCGAGTCTCAGGAGTCCAGACCTTGGCTTCCTCTCCCCCTTTCTCTGCACCGAGCTTGCGGCCAGGCACCTTGTGGTCAGTAAATGGACATTTGCTGACTTACTGCTGGCTGAAGGGACCCATTCTGAGCAAGACTTGGTTGTTGAGGTCCACAGGAAGGCTAGACATATAGTAGTTCACCTGGGAGAGCTGCTCCTCTGCTGGGCCTGGAGTGGTAAGCAGTCAGGAAGAGGGAAGTTCAGCATAGGCAAACAGAAAAGCGAGATAATGCAAACAGCAGAGTTCCAGCTAGTTATTCACAGTATTTACTGGACTTCTTAGAATTTGGGCATGAATTGTAAACATTTTAAATAAGCAACACAATGATATTTTTCTGCTTAGCTTTCCGATGTGTATAAACATTATCAATATCAATAACACATAAGATCCCAGTGTCCGACAAGAGGCCGTTCACAGAGCCATGCCACTTTCAATTGTCCAGTCCACTCCCACAGACACACGAGGGAACGAAAGTATAGAAAAGCTGTCTTGCTTTTGCCTTCAGGATGTACATGTCCACTGGTATTTGTTCTTTAAAAATAGGGCCCCTTGGGTTGTGGCTCAATGGTAGAGCACTTGCCTAGTACAGGCGCAGCCCTGGGTTTGATCCTCAGCACCACATAAAAATAAATAAATAATTAAAGATATTATGTCCAACTACAACTAACAAATAAATAAAATAACAGGGCTCCTGAACTATACCCCTAACACGAGCACCTCTTACTGAATGTATGTTGTGCCTAACTAAAGACAAACAGTGAACACCGGGGTCTGGTCAGCTGGTCTGGCTGTGGGGGCCATGCTCCTTGGCCTCATCACTGTTCTTGGCCCACCTCCCCAGTTCTGATCCAGGCAGGAGTCAGCTGCCTTTGGCCAGGAAGGAGACCTCAAGGCAGTGGAAGCCCTGGGTTTTAAGGCTAAACTGGCCAGCCCAGAACATCTAACCATGAGTGGAGGACCGTGGGAAATGGGTTCAGTCAAAGCAGGCATCTGAATGTGTTGGGGCAATGAGGAAAGAGCCAGGTGAGGTCCCTGCTTGGGCAGAGAAAGAAGGAACCGCCAGAGGAGACGGGAGAGGGAGCTGACAGCTTGATGGTGCTGGGGATTTGGCATCTGTGGCCCCCAGGCAGTCTACCACCCATCCGTGGTTACTGCACAGAGCTGGGTGTTAAGGCAAGACCCTTACACCCATGGAGTTTCTAATCTCATGAGCAAGACAGGGAAGTGAACCTAAAGTAGTAGACAGCCTACAGAGTGCGTGGTAGGGGTGAGCTCAGGATACTATAGCAGCCAGGCGCAGGAAGGCCTCATTCAGACTGGAGGATGCTTCTAGAGAAGGCCTGGTCTTGAGCAGTAGGCTCAGGTTTTGCCCCCTCCCCACCCTAAGCCACTTAGCAGTAGTGGAGACACTTCTGGTTGTCTTGACTCAAGATAGGGGGGATATCCTACCAGCACCCAGGCCCAGGATCTATCTGCACATCCCGGTGCACAGGACAGCCTCCTGCACAATGAAGAATTACTGCCCAAAGTGTCAGTCATGTTAGGTAGAGAAGCACCGCTCCAGAGCATTAAGTCAGGGAAGGAAAGAATTGAATCTGTGCTTCAAATATACGTCTTGGCTATAGAGGATTACGTTACAGTGATCAGTAAAGGCCATTCAAACATAAGAACTATGCTCTGTTATAAAATTCCAGAAAATTAGAATAGAAATAAATTTCAAGGAGAAAAAAATGTATGTTGAAATCAGCCTTTGTCATGGGTGGAGTCGGCCAAGGGAAGGCAGGGGTTTGTACATAGGCAAAGGCCTCAGAGAGAAGCTCTATGCAGTCAGGAGCTGCTCCGAACCAGGCAGGGAGAGGAAGGAGACCTGGGGGAGTGTGAGCTCTCCCTCCTCAGTAGCTCTGAGGAATGAGTCTGAGGCATCTCTTCAAGGGAAGCTGGCTCTCCAGCTACAGTGCTCAGACTGACGGAGCTGATCCAGCTCTGGATACACCACTGCCTCCTCACCGTGTAAGTGGGGTCCGCATCCGCAGGTCCCTGGCTTGCTTGTCAGAGAGATGCTGTTATGTACGTGGGAGTGCCCCGCACCAGGCCTGGCACAGCAGGCATGCCATGCAAACGGCACAGGCTCCCTCAGGTCTCCCCGCTCTGCCAGGTGGCTGCTGGGTGGTTGCAAGGCTGTGAGTGTGTAAACACTTCCCAGCAGCCAAGGCAGTGGCAGCCCTTGGAGATAACTGCTGGAATGCCACTTTCCAGGAGGAGCAAGACAGTGAACACAGGCCAGAGGCAGAGTTGGAGGGCAGGGAGCAAGCAGGGAGTGGGCCCTGCCTGCCAGTCCCCGGGAGAGCTGCCTGGCCTCGGGTGTGCTGCAGGCTGCCCTGTTTATCTTCTGCTGTGTTCACCAGGTAGAAGGCCTCTGGAGTGAAAGGGCTGCCGTGGGGGATTTCTGAGCCTCTGCACTGTGCCTGTGCTGCACAGCCTGGGCTTGTCCCAAGGTCCTCCGAGGCCCCATCATCAGACCCACACCAGCCTCTAGCCTTCCCCAACCAGTATCTGAGGCCTAGAATGTGTTACCCTCCATGGTGACCTGCATAGCCAGGCTGTGTCCTGGTTTATCAGCAAAAGGAAAGGGATTATAAATAGGTATGGCCTAGATCTGAAGCCTCCCAGGGAGAGAGTAGACCAAAGGGAGAGATGTTTAAAAGCCTGGGAAGTGGGAGGGAGTAGGGTGGAAAATTCCTGGGATGTCTGGCTTTCCAGACTGAGTAAGAAGTCTCAGGAAAACCCAGAGACCAATCCATTTTTACCTCCTACTATTTCACACTTAAGAGATTTTTGTCCATTCTTACTCCTAAGAGTTGGCTCAGTTTTGTGACAGATAAAACTTAATGATTCTTTGAAACTGTTCCAAGCACAACAAGAGAAGGGAAATCCAGAGATTATTTGCCTGGATCGTTCATTCAGAAACACGTTTTAAGTGACTGCTAGCTTCAGGAAGCGTCCTCAGCTTAGAGAAGCAAAGTGGGTACGCACAGGCTCTGCCGGCAGAAAACGCCGTTTTAGTGGAGAGAGCAGATGAGGGAAGCCAAACAGGGCTGAGGGCCTCCGTGGTGCTGAGCCCAGGGTATCATGGGGACATGAGCAGGCTGCCTGGGGAACAGGATGGATAGGACCGAGGCTAGGAAGCTGGCTGGGTGTTCCTCAGGCCAAGATGGTCAAGGAGATCTCAAGGCCCAGGTTGGAGTGGGCAGAGGTGTGGAGGCGGCAGGGATCACAGGCAGCTGAGCATATCTGGAGCAGAGAGGTTGAGGCTAGTCACCAGGGAGTCAGCTTTGGGCTCCCTAGACAGAGCCACAGTGAAGTCACACAGTGCTGGGTCCTGATCTCAGCCTGGCCGTTTATTAGCTGTGTGACTTTATCCTGGAAACGGGACTCTGAGCCTCTTTCCTCCTTCATTAACTGGAGCATCTGTGCTCCTTTTCAGGGTTGTTGGGAGAAATCAGTGAAGCAGCCACAGGGCTTATAAGTGTTTGGTATGTGGAAGGTGCTGGGGAGAAAGGGAGGCCAGGGTGTCTGAGTGATTGATGGCCTGACACCTGACAAAGCTGGTTTTCCAGGCTGAGGGAAAGCAGTGTCCCCAGGCCCAGGGACAGCTCTGGGGAATAGCTTTGGAGGCAGGAATACAGCAACCAGCTTGAAACGAGCTGTTTGGTAATTTCCCACCACTGAATATGGTGAGCTTTGGAGTAGGGTTTTTAATGACTGAGAGAAAAAACGTAGTAAAAAGAAAAGTAAACCAATTAAAAAAACAAGGAGGGGGTTGGTGGCTTGGCTGCCCATAGCCCCTGAGCACCCCTCCTGCAGGGACCGGAGCATCGTCCCCTCTGCACAAGACATTGCCACCTGATCTAGGTGTCCAGCTGAAGTCTGCTCTGGCAGCTCATTACAGAAACAAAGTGCTAATTGCCTTTCCCTCCTCCTCCTCCTCCTCCTCCTCCTCCTCCTCCTCCTCCTCCTCCAGCTCTCTGGGCTGCAGAAGCCAGCAGGGCTCCTCCTCTCACTGGCTCCTCTCTTGCTTTGGGTTCCAAATCAAACACTAGGGTTAGTGCCTTGAAAATGGAGTATCCTGGAAAACCCCAGAGATCCTGTGGGAAGAGGGGATGCTATTTAAATTTGCAAACCCAGCTCCTCCTGCTGGTCTGAGGGTCTTTGGGAGGTAGGGAGGTGCGGGTTGGATGAGAGTGCTGATGGGCACGCTCTGGTGTGGTTGGCCTCCACCTATGGAGTGTGTGGGCTGTGGGCAGCTCTCACAGTGCATGAGGATAGGACGCCCAGTGTCCCCCAACCTGCTGACGGCTGGAGGTAGTTTTCTTTTCAAGGTGCTGCTTCCTTTGTTTGTGAACTAAAGAGGTGGTGGCCACTGGGGTGGGCATGGGAGGGCCTGTGCTCTTGCCCCCAGTAGCTGAGTAGCTGCATGAACACAGACAAGGGGGGCCTGACCTGGCCTGTGAGGCAGGGCTGGGGACCCTGTGGGACCAGAAAGTCCATGTCTGCATGCACCCACGTCACTGAGAAAGGCCTGTTTATGTTCCAGGTACCGGCCCTGTTTGATGAGGTGGCCATATATTTTTCCGATGAGGAGTGGGAAGTTTTGACGGAGCAACAAAAGGCCCTGTACCGGGAAGTCATGAGGATGAATTATGAAACCGTCCTGTCCCTGGGTAACGCTTTGTTTTCCTTTGTGGCCTAGAGGCTCTGCACCCAGAGAACTGTGTCCATGTCTCTCTTCTCTGGTGTACCCAGCGTCCTGAGCTTGGATTCTGCCCCCTCCTTGCCAGTGCCCATTTAACCCCCCTGGTTTTGATTCAGACATGATATGAATATTATGTCCATCCCACTCGGCAGTCCTGTTGAGTCCTTGTTCAACCCAGGCGGGCATTCACATGTTTTAAAAAGGCGGCTTAGCTTTGGAAACATCACCGTGGGTCTGGGCCTGTGCTTGGTTCTCCAGAAAGGAAGCAAGGCCTTCGTGGGTATCCTGTCAGCCTCAGAAATTTTGGGACTTGCCCCACTCTGACTCTGGCACATCCTCCTATCAGAGTTTGGCCTTTGGAGCCCTCCCCAGTGTGCTCGCTCACGGTGGTGGTGCACGTCGCCTGCTCTTCAGCTGCACTTCCCTGGTGGCTGCTGACCAGCTCTCGCATGGAGAGGTCCAGCATCCCCTGGACAGACCTCTTTTCTGTCACACTTTTTACATACATGACCAAGCTCTCTTCCCCATCTTTCACAAAGTAGTGGAGGCACAGGGGGTTAAGTCAAAGTACTTATTTGGGGACTGCTCTGGGGCAGTGACACACAGCTGTTGTCTGTTTTGTTTTCTACAAACAGAATTCCCATTCCCTAAGCCAGACATGATCACTCGGTTGGAAGGGGAAGAGGAGTCCCATAACTCTGATGAGTGGCAGCTCCAAAGAGGAACCTCCACAGGTACAAGTAGACCAGTTCCACCATCGTCTGAAGGGAGCCCCATGGAGCTGGGTTTCCAGCCCCCGCGGATGTTCCGTGGTGTATTTAGGAGCGAGACACAAAGGTTATGGGCTTTGGCGTTTAAAGGTCTTCCTCCTTCCAATGCTTTGGCTTTAGGCAGCTTCTTTCATCTCTTTGCGCCTCAGTTTCCCCATTTGTCTCTTGTGGGTCTAAATAAGACTTGGTGTGCAGCCTCGTATGTGGGAGCAGCTGGATGGGGCTTGTGTGCCGTTTGGTCCAGGGCACATCGTGGAAGCCCAGCCACCCCTCAGCACACCTGATGCCTCTGCAGACTAGGAACTGGGGAGCAAGCTTCCAGAGCCTTTGTCTGGCACTGCCGTCTCCCACTGGTGGGAAAAGCAGTGACAGCTCCCGTGCTCATCTGAGCAAGTATCTGAGAAGCACCTAATCCCTTGTCGAGAGAAAGGGGTCACAGTGGGATGAATATAACATACCTTCCAGACACCAAAGTGGTCTTGCTTTTCTCTAGGTAAGAATTTAAAGTGTTGTAATTCATCAATTCTAAGACATGTTTTCCCCTGTAACACTACCAACTCTAAAATGCTCCTTAAAATTGATGGCATGTGATAGTTACAATTAGTGGCATTTTATTTTTCTTTTAATGGCTTGTAGTCATGCATCCTGCAGTATGGCATTTGGGTTTTGGTGAAATACAGTAATTTCCTCAGATCATACTCAGTTTCTGCCACCTTCCAGATACAGACACACTGTGAGTGGAACACGGTGTTAACATTGGTGTGCAAGAACTAGTTTTCTGCCTTATAAACTTAACTAATGTGGTTTTTGTTGTAGTTTTCTTGATTCAAAGGAGATGATTCAGTGCAGGGTGCACCTAAATCTCTGTAATATCATGTGGTAGTACGGGTTACCTTTATCTTCTCATCTACATAGACTTTTTTTTTCCTTTTGGTATTAGGGATTGAACCCAGGTGCACTATACCACTGAGCTACATCCCAGGTCCTTTGTATTTATTTTGAGATGGCCTCAAACCTGCCTTCCTCCTGCCTCATTCTCCAGAATCACTGGGCCTACAGGTGTGTTCCACCACACCTGGCCATAAACATTTTTACCTACATGTGGCCCCCAAATTATGTAGTCCAAGCTTGGAGGTCAGTTCCTCCATAGCTCTCTTCTCCTTGCAGAGGGTGTGCAGTTCCTGGAGAGGTTGGTGGACCCCGGGTGGGACTTAGGCACTGTGACCTACTGAGAGAGTCACTGTCTTGGTGAACCTCGGGTGGAGCATTTTGACCCGGAAGCTCTGGGAAACGCTGTCTCACTCACTGGCATTGTTCTGTCTCCCAGAAAACGAGGAGTCCGACGTGAAGCCTCCATACTGGGCAGGCCCCGCGAACCCCCACGCACAGTTTCCTCAGCCCCAGCACCTGGACGGCCTAGGCCTGGCCGAGCTGCCCGAGTGGAGCGAGGGGTACCCCTTCTACATGGCCATGGGCTTCCCGGGGTGTGACCTGTCTGCCGAGGACCTGGCGGGGAGGTTCCAGTTTAGCCGGGGCATGCGCCGCAGCTACGACGCGGGCTTCAAGCTGATGGTGGTGGAGTACGCCGAGGGCACCAACAACTGCCAGGCGGCCAAGCAGTTCGGGGTGCTCGAGAAGAACGTGCGGGACTGGCGCAAGGTCAAGCCGCAGCTCCAGAACGCGCACGCCATGCGGCGGGCCTTCCGCGGCCCCAAGAACGGGAGGTTCGCCCTCGTGGACCAGCGCGTGGCCGAGTATGTGCGGTACATGCAGGCCAAGGGGGACCCCATCACCAGGGAGGCCATGCAGCTGAAGGCGCTGGAGATCGCCCAGGAGATGAATATCCCCGAGAAGGGCTTCAAGGCGAGCCTGGGCTGGTGCCGGAGGATGATGAGAAGGTACGACTTGTCCCTGCGGCACAAGGTGCCCGTGCCCCAGCATCTGCCCGAGGACCTGACCGAGAAACTGGTCACCTACCAGCGCAGTGTGCTGGCCCTGCGCAGGGCGCACGACTACCACGTGGCGCAGATGGGCAACGCGGACGAGACGCCCATCTGCTTGGAGGTGCCGTCCAGGGTGACCGTCGACAACCAGGGTGAGAAGCCCGTCCTGGTGAAGACGCCGGGCAGGGAGAAGCTCAAGATCACGGCCATGCTGGGCGTCCTGGCCGATGGGCGGAAGCTGCCGCCCTACATCATCCTGAGGGGCACGTACATCCCGCCGGGGAAGTTCCCCAGCGGCATGGAGATCCGCTGCCACCGCTATGGGTGGATGACGGAGGACCTGATGCAGGACTGGTTGGAGGTGGTGTGGCGGCGGCGGACCGGGGCCCTGCCCAAGCAGCGGGGCATGCTGATCCTGAACGGCTTCCGCGGCCACGCCACCGACTCAGTGAAGAGCTCCATGGAGAGCATGAACACCGACATGGTGATCATCCCCGGGGGCCTGACCTCGCAGCTGCAGGTGCTGGACGTGGTGGTCTACAAGCCGCTGAACGACAGCGTGCGCGCCCAGTACTCCAACTGGCTTCTGGCTGGGAACCTGGCCCTGAGCCCCACGGGCAATGCCAAGAAGCCGCCCCTGGGCCTCTTCCTGGAGTGGGTCATGGTCGCCTGGAACAGCATCTCCAGCGAATCCATTGTCCAGGGGTTCAAGAAGTGCCACATCTCCAGCAACCTGGAGGAGGAAGACAATGTCTTGTGGGAAGTGGAGAGCGAGCTACAGGGAGGAGGTGAACCCCCTGTGGAGAGCATGGCGGAGAGCAACTGAGGGGCCAGCTCCTTGGTGGCTGGTCGGAGTAAGTGCTCAGGGCTCTGCCATCCCGGGCTGCCAGCCAACCTACCTCTCTCCCATATTGGTTTCGAGTTCTCAGAGCCCACCGGGCAGTGTGTGGGTGCAGACCAGCAGCATTCTCTCCTTCCCAGGCAAGGGCTGTCTGACGCCCTTCATGGGTACTGTCCCCTGGGGCACGGACCAGGAGCACTTACATACTAGTGAAATGAACAAAGGGTGAGCTGCCCGACACGGAATCTGACAGCCGTAACTCTGTAAGAAACTATTTGGGCCTAAAAGGGTCTGATAATGTGCAGCTCACAAAAAATTTTGTCTGAAAAAGACAACTTTTTTCTTTCCCTTATAATTCACACAGAATGTTTAGGGCCAGTGTGTGCCTGATGTACTTGAAGGACCAGGACACAGGGCAGGAGGCCTGCCTTCAGTACCGCATCTGCTGGGCCTCAGGTCTCCGTCCTGGGCTGGTCTACACCTAACACCTGCCAGGGAGTAAACACACTTCACATCTTCCGTCTCATCCTGGCCTTTGGGATGGGCGGGCTGTTATGTCAGCAGATGTCTGCAGGATGGTGCTGTAAAACTGAAATCTTTGCACCAGAAACAAAATAAAGCAGGGTGCCACCTAACACTACAGATGGAGGGCCTGGGATAGGGCTGAGTGCAGAGCAGCAGCTGAGAGGAAGAGGGAAGGCGCCTCCCTCACCCACACTCCCCTGGAGGGAGCAGCAGGCCGGCCGCAGGCAGCCAGGAAGTGCCCAGGGCAGGCCACTCCAACCTCCTTGCTTCACAAGAGGTGAGGTCATCCCTTAGAAGACTGAACCACCTTGATGTGGTTCTGTATGTTAAAGTACAGTTCCATCGGTGTGGAAGATGGCTCAGGCCTCCTTGCTCACCCCCACATCATCAGTTAGTCATGCCCCTAACTCCACTGTCATTCTGGACCCCTGCAGTTACCACAGAGCAAGACCTTACTGTATGCTCAGGATCACAGAAATGGCCTGTTGCTTCCTCATGTCCCCCACTTTGATAAGCCCCTGATCCAGCCTCCCTTTTCTGGAGCCAGTGTTCTCACCTTTTGCTTTTCCCTCTCTTTGTCAGATAACATCAGGGGGCATTTTCAGTTTTCCGAGTGTTTCCCCCCCAGGGCCTCGATCAGGAACTGCCAGGAAGGGAAGAAAGCTGACTACCCTGCAGCTGTGAGCACGGGCACCTCCGCACACCTCAGCCTGGGCTTTCTTGCCACAGACGCAGCTGTCTGGCTGCTCAGGCGGCAGGGGAGGAGACGGACATAAAACTAATGGAATTGCTATTTTTGTTAAGATATCCAGAAATCCAAAGGTTAATTCACATTTAGTTCTGTGTTTTCCAGCAAATGGCACTGACGGCAACAGAGGGGGGAAATGACTCCCGAACGCAGTGGATGCACAGGGAGCAGCAGGAAGAGGTGACAGGGCTCTCAACAGCCCAGTTCAGGACAGCAGACAGTGTCCATCCTGGGACACGCCCTGCCTGCCCCTTGAAGTGTCCGCAGCCAAGGAGAAGACCCTTAATTTCATCAGCAACAAGATTAGGAAAGAACCCTTCTGCCCATTTCTTGGAGATTATCTGCCTCTCCATCAAAAGGAGCCTGTAAGAAGGCGAGGGCAAGGTGCTCCTGGGGAGCAGGACCCCACACCATGGAGACCCAGCATGTGGGCACAGCTCTGGCGCTGTGAAGAAGCTTTCTGCAGAGAAGACCTCAAGTCAGTGTGTGTCTTGCCTTGAGAATGCTTCCATAAGCACAGCCCATGCCCACACGGTCACAGGTTTTGTAGAAGGGCATCACAAGCCCCTTAGGGAAAATGAGATACTGATGCTAACAGCAAAATTAAGACACCCTGGCCTGGTGCCAGCAGGTGGCTTTTCTGAAGACAAACTAGGTTAGTATGGAAGACATGGTTAAAGTAAACTTGCTGTTCTATCTTCCCAGTCTGGATGGCAGCTAGACTTGTGGGGTCTTGTCTGATGGGCCTGCCTCTTCACTGTCCTGCTTAATGGTGAAGGCAGCACTTGGTGCATGAGCTCCTGCCCTCGGGCCACCTGCAGACCCCCATGAGGGGTCTGCTGTCCACAAGGTACAAGGCCCGCAGACTCATCTGGTACTTTTTAATGTTCTTGTAACAAGGGCTGTGGGAGGGCACAGGCCTCTACCACAGCTGTTTGGAGACTTGGGATCATCTATCTTGCAAGGTCAGCTGGAAGGTCGTTGGGTTTTTACACAGTGGTCACTTACATTCCCACCAAGTCGAGTGTTACGAAGACATTCCTTCAAACCCATCTGAGCTACAGAACCTCAGAAGCAGCCATCACTAGGAGCCGTCATTCCTGGGTCGGGCCTGCTCACTGGCTGCTGCCGTCACTCCTACAGACGCAGCATCTTGAAACGCCTGTTTCTACTCAGGTACTCCTCTTCCTTTAGTGATTCACCTTTCTGATCTTTTTAAACCAGTCTCCCCATAGGAGGAAAACTCCACTTCTAATATCCAAATAACTTTCACTATCTGAATTGTTCCCCCACTTGCTTTATATTCTGTATTCTTGCACATCCAAAAACGACACCCAGAACCTGTTACTTTTCATTCCAGAAGCTTCCATTCCTTCCTTAATTTTTTCTCCAGTGGCCCAGTTCCTGGCCCTTCTCCATGTTCTATTTCTCTTGCTTTGGAAGCTTAAAAGATGCTATAGGACCTAATTTTAGGTTCCTATGTGGGAGCCAGTTACCTTGCCGAGATAACAGAAATGGTTCGACTCATCTTGACCCGTACCTCGCGTCTCCTCGCCAGCAGAGATGATGCCTTACAGGCTGCGCAGCACTGGAGCGTTCCTGGAGGGACGGCACTGCCGCCACGGTCTCCTGGGCTTCCTTCCACGGTCTGTGCCTAACAGCCCCAGTACAGCCGTTCTGCAGAATGACTATAGCACACTTGGACATAGTGTACTCCCTGGTAGATAGATAGGAAGTGACCCCAACAATAAACTTTGATAATAAAGTCACTAGGCCATGGTGCTTTTATTTACCTGCTGACAGTGTCAAAAGTTACTTACATTTTAAGCTTTTTGTCTATATTCCCCATCTAGTTCTGTACCAACATACTATCCTTTGAATCCAAGTGTTCATGGGATACAGTAATACTGGTGTCCTTGAAGGCAAAGGAAGAAAATATTTGTGGTCTTAAACTGGCTTTTAAAGGTGGGGGAGGTCTACCATAAATAGCTCTTTTTCTCATTTTGGATGCTCAGGAATGGAATATTACCAAACCACATAAGGAAAGTCCTTAAGGGATATGAATTTACCATCAGTGGAAATTCAGTGCCACAAGCTGATGGGTAGAAAACTTTGTATCTTATTCTCATAAAAGTCTTCTAAGACAAAAGCATCATGGGCCCGTAGTTCCCTTTATCCTATGCTTAGTAAAATGAGTCCTGCCGTGTTAATGCTCCTTTTCTGTGAACTCAAGTCAGTACCTTCTGCTCTCCAAGAATCATCGAGACAATGTTTTTCCTTTTTAAACCTTCAACTAAATGGACTGTTCTGCTGGCCACACTGGCCAAGCCTGATCCCTAAGGCTGCTTTATTACCCTTCCTCCCAGGGCCATTTTGAGTCAGACATAGTAAGACAGGTGGCCAGTGGAAAGCAAGCACTGAGAAGACCCTTGGGAAATCCGGGAAGGTCGGCGACCAGTCAGTGCAAGGGAGTGTTTGGCACACACCACACCAGCCCTGTCACCCTGGAGAAGGCAGGCCTCACCGAGTGTGCACACCTACAGCAAAGACTCATCCATAGTCCTACAGAAGTCACTGGGATCCTCCTGAGCTACCTGGTCTCTGGCTGCTTTTCCCCCACTGAACTGTTTTCTGGGTAACTCCTGAGGGTAACTGCAGAAGACGCCCTGGGACCCTCCAGCTGGAGGTGGCAGGGTGGAGCCCGTCTTTGGCACAAAGGTTCCCTTTTGAGGGGCTCTCCTGAAACCCCATTTACTCTGTCTGCCTGCCTTGCCTCATTGCCACCTCCCAGTTTGGGAGTCCTCTTGAGAACTGTCACGGAGGCAGACTTTCTTATATCAGCGCAGAAATGAACATGAAGCACAGGGAGCTAGTCCAGTGGCATCCTGGGTTTGCTGCGCACAGGCTCCAAGGGGCCCTGTCACTATGGCAGAAAGACAGCGGCTCCTGGCTGCCTCCATGTGGGAGCACAGGGGACGCCGGCATGCTCCTGGGCAGCGGAGGCCCGGGGTACTGCAGTCCCAAACAAAACCTCCATACTCACTTCAGTATCAGCTCAAATTCTTCCAGATTCTAAAAAGTCAAGAGTCCTGCCTTACCGAATACTCCAAATGGCTTATGCAAAAGCTGAAACTAAGCTGTTTTTTCTCTTTGGTGTTAAAAACATCACAAACGAGAGAAATGGTAAAGCTTAACGGGAGCCTGCCCTTCAGTCTTTCTCAGCTAGTACACTCTGAAAAGTCTCTGCCAAGATCTCACAAAGCAGGGCTTTACTATTTCTGTATGATATTTTTCCTTATGTATTTACTTTAATAAACAAAAAAAAAAGGTTTTCTGCCAAAACATTTGTCACGCTTAAAGTACAAAATCAAATACAGAGCTTCAGACGTATGAACTATATACACATACCCATACATCCATTCCTCAGTCCTACACAAACCCACCTACAGTCTAATTTGTCCATCAACACTATTGAGTAAAAAGCATATGTATCTCTAGAAAACAAAACTGGTTTTCAGTAACACTGTCAAAGTAGATTATTTTCAATTTAGCACTTAAAAGGGTAGAAATAGATATTTCCTACAAATAGAATTACCAACCATAAATCCAATTTGTAAGATTTCTTAAAACATGTTCTATAGGAATAACTAGTAGACGTGCCTTCAGTCACCACTGGTCATATTAACACTATACAAATTAGCTATAGCAAGACATCTTTTAAGGATGATTAACAGAAGCACCTGCCAATCATCCCTGGGCACTTCAACACTAAACAAACTGGAGCCGCAGGAAGACGTCTTCTAAAGCAGACTGCGTTCCAGGAGGGTGGGTTGGCTGGGCTTAATTTTGTCCAACAGCACAGCATCTGCAAGTCACGTTTTCTGTGGAGCTGAAATGGTGGATGGCTTGGAGGCTACCTCAAGGTGTTAAAAATTAAACCCGTCACTAAAGGAGGTGTCCGAGTTTCAACACTGGATAGGTTATACCAACAAAAAGCAAGAGTGTAAAAGTTTTATCTGGCCAGACACAGAACACAAGAATGTCCTGTCAGTCGAGGGGACAGGCTGCAACGGCGCCTTCACTCTAGGATGGTCCATCTTACACAAGGCCTCAGACAGGCATCCCCTTCCAGGCACAGGACTTCATCACGCCTGCTCCCGTAACTGGGAACACGCAGACAGGGTGGCCTGTATTTACACGAATGGCCTTGCAGCAGCAACAGAAAACACACTCACTGTCCATTTCCATAGGAAAGGTTATATGTACACTCTACACTTCAGCTTCGAAATGCAGACCCCAAACATGCCCTCTTCAGCAAGCAAAGACCCGTGAGGACCCCACACCCTCCAATCCCACTTAGCAGAGCAGAAGCCCCTCCTTGGCCGCCAGGCGCTGGCGGTGGACTTGGTCTTGCTGCAGCTCCTCGTGATTCGGGTGCCAGAGCCTCATGATGATCCTCTCGATGTTGAGGGCATACACAGTGTGTGTAGGGATGACTTCCCGGTGTACCTGGGGTTCAAACATCAGCAATCTCCAGTTATTCTTCAGCAGGCTTACTTTTCCAACATAGAGAATGGGTTTACGTCAACACAACACAGACAAGACACAACCCAGAACTTGAACGAGAGCCTAATGCATCCCAAGTCAGACATGAAGGAACGAGGCACCGCCGAGTTCTGAATAAGCGGCAAGCACGCCGATTCCTTTTTTTGGAGAGGTCAAGGATGAGGGAGGTAAATCAGGAAAGACACCTGGGTTAGGATTTTAAAAATGAGACTAGTATTAATGGCTTTAATAATAAACAAAAAGCCAAAAACAGAACCAGGAAGTAGAAACAAGCCAGCGCACGACTCCGCAGACTTGAAAAGCCGCCAGCCTGTCCGACCCGAGGAGCCGAGAGTTACCTGCAGAGCCTCAAGGAGGTCGTACATGTTCACTGGAGGCAAAGGAGCAGGCAGCGCTTCCCCAGAGCAGGCCAGCAGGAGTGCGGCCTGCTGCTCAGCAGCGTCCGGGGGCAGGTGGGCAGCCGGGTTCTGACCCGCACAGGGAGTGGACACAGCCGGAGGGCTGAAAGACATGGCAGAAACACTCCCAGCATCTCCCACAGACAACCCGCAGATGGACAGAGGGGCTGGCCAGGCCACGGCTCCCTACAACTGCCTTCAACTCCACAGAAACCCATTAGTGCCCACGTCAGGCTGGACACAAGCACACTCGGCTCCCCGGCCCGTTGCTCCTCAGCACTCAAGTATTGAGTTAGATAGGGGGCTGAGCCACATTGTCTCCTGCCCTGAGGAGCTTCCAGTTGAAAAAGAAAGAGACCACGAGCCACTGGAAGCTGGCGTGGAGAAGAAAGCCAGCACTGCAGGCAAGGAGCAGCAGCCGCAGGAAGGGGACGCTGGCCAGCACGGGGCGGCTCGTTTCCAAAACTGCCCAGACGGCGCGCGGAGAAGCCGGGTGGGATGTGTACATCAGAGTAGCTGGAGAAAGAGCTCGGTTCCTCGGAACGCCAGGACAGCGGGCAGCATCCAGGCAAGAGCAGCCCTCACGCCCTGGCCAGCACCCCCACCACGAGGAGCCACTTTTTGTTTTCATCAAGAGAAGCATGACTTCAGTGAAAATCCCAAACATGTGGCAGAATGAGATCAGACGAGAACCGGCACTTGTGGCCCAGGGCCACTGCCCCCAGGCGGGTGCTGCCCAAGGGAGCCACACTCCACTGCACAGCAGAGAGAGGGTCACAACAGACCCCAGGCAGCAGCCCGACCCTGGAACTGATAAAGATGACAGTAATTCGATAGATGGCCCGAGAGGCTAAGACTGAAGAGAACAGAACCGTAGAGTGGGCGGAACTCCTGCCACACTACAGGAACCCAGTGACCAATGACCTGACGAGAGGTCTGCCACCAACAAGCCAGGGCAGAGGGAGAATCGCGAGAAAGCACTTACCCTTCGATTAGGCTATTGTAGGCCACCACGCTGTTCTTCAGGTATGGCTGTGGGGTCACATTGCTCCCGAAAGCATACTTAAAGTGGCCATCTCGCAGCCGGTGCGCTTTCCTTCTGGACACAACTGACGTCAGTATGTCTTTGAGGTGGCTCTGAAAAGCAGAGGGAGAACACCACCACCTCAGAGCAGACCACGGCTTCCACTGACCATCCGCAGAGGTGTGGGACTGGCTGGCACAAGCCAGAACCGCGGGAGTGGTCAGCCAAGAGCCAGTGGCCGCTCTAAAGAGAAGCGGCACGGGGAGGAGGGCACGCGCATTTTCATCCGGCTCCCTTTAAAAATGGTCTTGTCCTACAATGAATTTTTAAAGTTTTCATGTCTCTAAATTGGCTCATTTCTCTCAAAAATGATTTTCAATAAATAATTTATTTTTAAAGAAAGGCAAGCTACCTGGAGACTTGGTTTAACATGGGAGGAAAAGTTTCAAGATCTGATATTTACTGGTTATACAATCCTTACATGAAAAGAGCCTGTGTTCTCAAAAGCCACACAAACAAACACAGGATCTCTCAGAGAAGTAGACTCAAACAATGTCTATTTAATTTCTTTTTGCCTTTCTAAAACTATGTATTTAATTTCTTCTGTGAGAGCCAAGTGTATAAGGAAAGGTTGCAGAATGTCTATGAAAATAGGTGTGGAACTATGCCAGCCTATGGTCACTAACAGGTGAGCCGGGACCTGGGAGGGTGTTTCACTTACACCAAGAGGACCATCTTCTATCAAGTCATAACTGCGATTTAACACGGGGTTCACAGAGAACCCATGACTGTCTATAACTTCATGAGACAGTTATGGTTATCTTTGATGTACAGAGGAGGAAAATGGGGCCCCAGGAATTGAAAGGAATTACCCAGTGCTCCCTGAGCACCTCCAGGTCACAGTACAACGTGTAATTGTCAAACAGCTAGATAAGTAAATGGACGCATGGGCTAGCATGCGAGCCACCTCTGCTACTCCGACGCCACGCCCAGCACTCTACACACGCAGAGGCGGACCCCAGGACCCTCAGCCTCACTCCGTCCCTGACACCACTCCCTCACTGCTGCACATCAGATCAGAAGTGTTAGGCCCTACCCAACCTTCCCAAGAGCCTGTCCATCAATGGCGCAGTTCTCTGGACTGTGACGTGTGACAGAGATGGCTCTCTGACACCAAGGTGGCGCCCGGCTCTTCTGCGACAGCATCACTTGCCACACACAGGAGCGCCTCACGCTCAACCCGCAGCCCCTCTGCCGGCAGCACACCAACCTCCACCGCATAGACCACGGCTGAGACGGCGTCCTCAGCCACGTTGTCCAGCCCGTGCTCGTAGGCCGTCACAATCATCCTCCCCTCGAGCTGGCCGCGCGTGGGAAGCATCATCGTGTGGGAGCAGAGTTTCAAGTCGTCATCATCCTGGGGATCCTTTGCCACGAACTGCTGTGCTCCGGAGAGGGGGTTCTGGGGCTGGAATCTATGCTGAGAGTGACAGAACGTTGCAGGGCCACTCGTCACCACAGCAAGCAGACAGACAAGAGGGAGTCATGTCTTAGTCTCGAGACCCTTCAAATGAATGCCACCAAAACGTGACAGTGGCAAAGAAAACAGTAACTCACAAATAATCACACACTCATGCCCATCACACTGGACAATGGAGATGTGAGCTCAGGGACACTGGCCACACAGAGTTCCTTCCGTTCAGCAAGGACCATGGTGGCCACATGCTCTATGGTCCTGTGCTAAAGATCACAACTCAGGAGCAGAACAGGACACAAAGTCATGTTCAAAGAGCAGAGAACTTTAACTGGCAGTTCTGAAGGCACTGTCAGCACCGCCATTTGGCCTTCCACCTCGCTGGCCAATGACAGATCCGTAACCAGCACCCTGAAGACGCCATAGACAGTGCCACCTATCGACCGTTACTTTCTACTTACAATTCTCAACACAGAGCCTCGGCCCTCGCCACACTATCTGAGTCGATGTTCTCAATCTCCCTTCGTTCATACCACTCAGCCTTCCTCAGGACTGTCCACCATCACTGGGAGACAGGCTCCTGGAAGCTCTGGCTAACGCCCAGATCCTGCACTGAAGGCAGTGTTCCTGCTCCAAGCCTCTATTATAAAAATAACCACTGTCAATTTTCCTTTTCTAAGTATAAAACTGCACTCCCCATTGAATGGGCCTATGTAAACCCCGTGTGCCTCTGCAGGGCCTGATACAAGGGGGAAGAAATAAATGTTTGGAGATATTAGTCAACAAAACGATTACTTCCCAGGCCAACCTCAAAGGGGGATATTATCAAAAACTTCTTCCCCTAGAGATAAACTTTTTGAAAAATACAGGTTTTTCCAAATATTCTCAAACAGTTACAAATTTTATAAGCAAAGAGGCTGAGACCAGGCAGGCACTGCAGATGCATGCAGAGGCCTCCAGGCTGCTAAGCCCCACCCGGGATGCCCTCAACCTGAGAAACCAGCGGGCCCGCTCAACCCCGGGAAACCCTTGGGTATGAGTGAGAACATATGAACACCGGAGAAGTAACAGAAAGAACTGTCAACAGACCACAGTCTTGAGACCCTTTCCTCCCTAAATCACATCCTTTCTTCAGCACTCCCACCGGTTCTTTAATGTTCATTTCAAATGAAGCCAGGCCCCACACTGCCACTCGAGTCATGACCAGTCGTCACTGTGAGGGAAGACCTACGTCAAACTTCTGGCGAACAGAAGAGAGCTTTTTCTTGCCCTTGGGCTTTCCAGGCTTGGCCGCAGATCCCCCCGTCCAGGGCAAAGATCCAGCACCCTCTGTGAGACAGAAAACAGCAATCGTAAGTGAAAGCGACGACGATGCCTATGCCGAGTCTGTTTTCATTTGGAATTTTAAAGCATGGAAGCTCACGTCATGAAAATAAGGAATGAATGCTCAAATTTGGATCTTCTCCTTCTACTTTTGTGAACAAAATTATAGACACTTCAAATCACATTTTTTTCTAGCCGTAACCAAAAATATTTTAGGAAGACAAATGTGATTTTTCTGCTTTAGTTAGTGTTTACTGGGCTTTCGTCCCTTGGGGCATTACTGTAAAGGCAGGACAGACCTCCAGCCCCGTGAGCTGAGCATGAGCACACATCTCCTCTCCTGCAGGGGCAGCAAGAGCGAGCAGCCAGCAGGGAGGAGGCAGTGGCCGAGGGCACAGCACCGTGCCAGGCAAGGGGAGGACAGGGTCAGTGGACATAGGAGGCAAGGACACCAACTAACCAAGGCCTGCACCCAGGACAGCCCAGAACAAATGTTTAGCTACTCATTCAAAAACTGACCATCTCAAGACCATGGAGGTAACATCCCAAACCAAGCGTGGGGGCCCCACTCACTCCCAGGCCCAGGGCACGGCAGGGTGGGTGGTAGGAGGAAGGAGGGACAGAGGGCTCTTCTCCAGTCACACCGAACAAAACTTCCAGGACTGGCTACCGTAGCTGCTGCAGATGTTCAGCCCCAGCACAAAGCTCTCTGTACACTGGTTTGGGGAACTTCCACCAGCTTTCTCCAAAGTAGTCTCCTGACAATCACACTCTATATTCTTATAATGAAGAGGACAACAAATCACCAGATGCTGGACCCTGCTTGGTAATACACTGTATCAGTCCATTTTTCATCACTATAATAAAATCTCTAAGGCAAACTGCTTTACAAAGAAAAAGGTTTATTTGACCCACAGTTCTGGAGACCCCAGGGCATGGTTCCAGTGTCAGCTCAGCTCTTAAGAGAAGCTCATGGCCAAGGGCAGGAGCACATGCAAGAGGGAGGTCACGTGGCACCACAGAAAGCCAGAGCACCACAGCACTCAAGAACTCAGGAGTCCTGTTAGCTCCCTTCTGCCCTTCTGAGGCCACTCCCTCAACCACTGAGGACCTCTGGCCAGGCCCCATGTCCTAAGGGTGCCACCTTAGGCACACCTCCACTGAGCACCACTAACAGTGAGCCCTTGGGAGACAACTACATCCAAGCCACTGGACACCGTAAGTCGACCAAGCTACCCAAGCAAACAACAGAGGTCCTACAGAGCTGGCACCGGCAGAGGCTGAGACCCGCGTCCAAAGAGGAGAACGCCGTAAAAAATGCTGAATCAAAGAAGGAACTGGAGGGGCTGGGGTTGTGGCTCAGCAGTAGAGCACTCACTCGCCTGGCAGTGCAAGTCCCTGGGTTCCATCCTCAACACACATAAAAATAAGTAAATAAAGGTACTGGGTTCATCTACAGGAATTAAAAAAAAAAGGAACTTGACAGAAAGGCAGCAGGTAAGGGTTGGGAACACCCCAAGCAACAGGGCGAAGGGAGAAGAGGCATGCCGTCAGAGACTGTGGACGGCCCCGGGCAAACCCCTGTGAGGGGGCAAGCAGGAGGCCAGCGGGCTGGGCAGGCAAGGGGGGCGGCCCCCAGCACCCTCTATGCCACTGAAGCCTACAAGTGAACAGAGCTCAATGCAAACACAAGCAGTAGGAGCTCCTCAGAGTGCACCCCAAAAAAATGCCTCCAGAATTAAAAAAAAAAAAAAAACACCCATGATCCAGTAAATGCTCTTTTTTGGAAAAAAGGAGTTTTTATAACTTTTGGGGGAAAACGTATCCAGGTTCCTCGTTAAAAGAGGACTCTTGGGAAGTCAGGCCCTCCTGTCCATCGCCCTTGGCACACCCAGGTCTAATATGATGAGGTCAGCTTCTCCTGGTGAGAGAAGGTGGACTGGCCAGGGCAAGTGCTGGACAGGTGGAGAAGGCGCAGGCTGGACCTGCAACTTGCGGACAAGCTCAGGCTGAGGACGAAGCACACGCAGCGTGGCCCTGGCTGGGGGCTTCTCCAGCGTAGATCCTGGTTTTGATCAGCACCTCCCTTTGGCAGGTGGGACAGCACCTCAGCCAAGTCTTGGGTTTCTGTTCTGTTTTCTCTTCTCTGAAGCTGTTCCTCATCTGTAAGAGCAGCCTCACTACCCTGCGTCGTGCTGTGACACTGACCAGGACAGGCGCACGGTCCTCAGGCTGCAGCCACCAACACATGGCGGCTCAGTCACTGCTCCTGCCTGCCTCAGAAAAGCAGAAGACCGGCCGCAGCCGCTGGGCAGGCGCACAGCACTGCACCATCCTCACTGAGACGTCTCTACTGCTGGCGAGCATCCCTTCGTCTTAAAGGAATCAATACTGAGCGTGCAAGCGAAATATACTCTTCAGTCCAAAGAGGAAGCTTCTTATTTTAAAATAACCAGTTACACACATTCAAAAATGTCAAGTTTTTAACTAATCAGATTTAGTTAATTGAAGCCGGCTCCTACACTGACACCACTTATGTTTGTTCGGCACCGTCTTCCTGTTCTCCCCTGGCTCTCCTGTGAACTCACAGGGCACACCTAGACGTGGATGTGGAAGTTGAGAACCTGCAAGTCCTTGCTCATGTGATGGAGGCTGGCAGCACACCAGCTTGACCCCATGGGCTCTACCAACCAGGGCTCTCCCCTCTCAGCAGGCCCCCGACCTGTGGTGGCGGCACTTCACAACAGACCCGCCTAGAAAGTGCCACCAGTCCTCACAGTGCTGGCTTTTCAGCTCAAACCAAATGATAAGCAACAAAGTAGATGAACGATCTCATCCACTTTGGATGTAAAACGTCTGGCTAAAGCCCTCTTCTGCCCCTGAGGGTGACGAATCAGACACGCAGGTGGCACAGGGGCTGTGAGGGGGGGACAAGGACCCTTCGAAACTTCCGTGCAGCACTTGGGAAGGGCAGGCGTCAGCTGGAGACAGCCTGGGGACTCTTTACCCTCCAAGGAACACAACCTGAAGGGGGACAACACAAATACCAGCCCTTCTTGGTAAGACACAGGCTTCTGAGACAGCATGCCACCAAGATGCTGAAAGATAAACCAACCTCATCGACACAGTCAGGAGGTGCCTTCTAGGACAACCTCAGTCACGAGGGGAGCTTTGCCTCATTAAATAAGATAGCCCAAAGAGGTACATTCAACAGTCGGCCATTTCAGCTCCACTCTCAGGGGTCAGTGTCCTGAACACAACCCTGCAGGCTGACTCTCACCAGCCCCCACCCGCGGCTCTTGAAGTGAAGAGCCAACAGGCACCCCGGCCCCACCCTCCAGGAGCAGCAAGCACCCCAGCCTGCAGGTGGAGCCCAGCTCCCTAGTGCCCACAGTCACCCCACCCCATGATTTCACAGTTATTACCTGTCCCCCACCCGACCTCCCAGCCTCTCCGGCCTGCTCACTTCCTTGTGCAATCTGAACCGCGGCTGACCGCTGAGGGCAAGACCAGCGGTTACCAATGAGTGCAGGAAAAAAGTTTCTAGATAAGAATTTGCACCTATGTGAGAAAAATTTCCCCAGAGCAGCTCAAAGAACATTTCATTTGCAAACTCGGACGTGGCTTAGAGCTGGTGGAAACCCAGGGCTCCTGGGCACATGCTGGAGCACTGCCCTCCTTACCTGGTGTGGAAACCAAAATCTGACAGCGCGTGAGGATGGCCAGGAGGAAATCGTTGTGAGAATGCACTGCAAGGGAAGGCCAGCAGGTCAAACCCCAGCGCCCACGCACAGGGCTCCACGCGCAGCCTGCTCTGGGGTCCGAGATCCCCCACCACCCTGCACTTCAAGCACCACATTTTAAGATGGTTTCACATGCTATTAAGACCAAAATTTTCTTTTTCAAAAAGTGAAAAGTCCTTAATTTATTGTAAACCTGGGAAGACATCCAAACAGCAAAATAACCCCGTATTATCACTGTACCATTGTCCTGTGTGAGCAGCCGGTGGGCCTCCAGGTCAAACTCCTCCTTGCTGATCTTCTGCTTGAACCACAGCTTCAAGTTAGCCCAGTATCTGCAGAGGAGAATTGGCAGTAAGAACCCATGCTGCCCTCCCAGGTCCACCTCGCCTATGCCAACTCCCGGGGGAGAAACTCCACACTCCCTGGCACTGCTGGCTTGATTGTCCCCTCAAAATTCACACATGGAAGCCCCAACCCCACACCCCAAAGAGTGACCACTTGGAGACAGGGCCTGTAGAGCAGCAGGGATTTAAGGGGGACCACTGGTGGGGCCCAAATCCAACGTGATAGGCCTCCAGACAGGGACAGCGGATGGATGCCCTCCCCTGGGCCTGCAGCCTCCATACTGTGAGGAGTCAAGCTTCTGTTGTTTAGCCCCCTGGAAATCAGAGAGCACCAAGCAGGAAATGGTCTCCTCCACAGGGACGGCCAGGGTCTCAGAAATGACTCCACTCACAGGACCTCCGCCCAGAGCCCACATCCACCCACGGTTCACGGAAATCCACAGGTGCTGGGCGGGAGCGGGTGGCTGTTCGCACCTACTGGGGGCAGTGCCCTGCCTTTTCATTTGCCTGGCTTGAGAACCGGGTTTCTCAACTTCACCCCGAGAAGTTCCTAGAGGTAAGGAAGCCAGACCCAACCCCAGGAGGAGACGACTCCGCCTTTTGCTCCTCAGCACCAGGAGGGATTCCAGTCTCCCACGCCACACTTGTTTGGGGGCTTCTTATTCATGGAACAGGATTTTAAAAATGGCTCAGTAAATGCCTTACCACTTTCAACTCAAGCTCACCTACCTTCTAGAGCTCATGTGAGTTCAGGAAAAGAGAGGCTTCCCAAGTGAGGCTCAGCGCCCTGGGGGTCAATGCGCAGGCAGGACCCACCCCAGGCCTTGCCCGGTCCTGCGCATTCTTTTTAGCAGGAAACCCAGGAACTTTACAGTCTTAAAGTGACACATAACCTATGACACTGCCACTTTCGAGCCTATTTCAACAGCAGAACACATTCAGCTCTACCTGACACCTCTCACTGATAACCCCGCTCAGCAGGTCACTAGCAACTTCACAAGGGTGGACACATTCATGTTTTTCTTGAAGGACAGGAACAATAAAGAAGTGAGTACAAAAAAGCTCTGCAGAAAACCAGAGGTCCTGTCTCACGCAGTTCTAATAGGAGACGGACGGACAGGACAGCCTCACGGTGCGAAAGCCCTGGCTGCCTTCAACAAGACGGCCATGCAGCCCTTTAGGAGCGCGCCAGCTTTCCAGGACCAAGACGCAGCTCTCCCAGGCAGTGGTGCCAACACCAGGCTGTCTTCTCCAGCCCCACAGCCAGCGCCACTCGGAAACCAAGAGCTGCTCCCCAGGCCCACCCTGTGCTGACTTGGGGAGCAACAGGGATGGCAGCTCCATCACACTCAGAAGGGAGCCAGTCACCGTCAAGGCAAGGGTGAGGTGGCAGTGCTCACAGACACGGGCAGGCCAAGGGCCCCCAAGACTCGACATCTATGGGAACATGAACTCCACCATTACTAGGCAAGCTGAGTCTGCTAGGGAAGTCCACCTCCCTCTGGAAACGGCCAGTCGGACTCCACCAGGTGCGGAGGACACGCAGACCCCTGGGTAAACAGCGCGGCTCCTCTCGGGGTTGTGCACCTCGTTTTACCCACACCCAGGATCACATTCCAACGGCAGCTGCACACAGCAAAGCCAACGACCCTGGAGGGAACCTGAGCTGGACTAGAGCAAGGCAGACTGCGCCACCAGAGGCCCCACGGCCACCCGCACTGGGCCACCCGCATTGGCGCTGAGGCAGGGAGAGCACAAGCTGAAGCATGTCCCTGAGACCTTCTCCAAAATAAGGTTCTCATGAGGCGGCTGGGGATGTGGCTCAGGGGCAGCGCACCCAGAGTCCGACCCTTGCAACTGTGGGGTGGGGGCTTGAAACACAAATGCAAAACAGTGCAACGGCAGGATCACCAGATCCCGCTTCAGCACCCACGCCTGATGGCACCGCACCCACACCTTGGCCCGGGCGCCAACTTCCAAACGCTGCTGGGCTCCTGGGGGGACAATGGAGGGCACCTACATCCACTCAGGGCTGAAGTCCCTCACACCGTCCCGCCGGGTCCTTCCGAGTTGGTGCCGCGTAAAATCAACACTTTCAAATATCTGTAAGCATTCTAGACAAAACAGTGAAGTCGGCACTGTGCCGAAAACCGTCCCCCTTACCAGTCTTAGCAAACCAAAGGCCACGCCGCTGGCGAGGCTGAAGGCGGGATCCCTACTGAAATCATTAAAGTCTGTTCATTAAATGAGCAAAGACTAGACGGACCACACACACGAACATTAAGACATCAAGGAGAACACTGCATTGGGGGAAGTCACCAAGTGCTTACGACACACTTGACAGAATTCTATCTTTGTCAAAGTTCGGGTCGTTTCTCTAGAAGAAAACCAAAATCAACTGCCACCCCAAATTCACACACGAAGGAACCTCGGAAAATCACAGACGGCCCCAAGCCACGGAACTTCGCCATAACAGAGCAGGTAAGAAGGTGAGGAGGCGGCGGCGGTGCTGGGGAGACAGGACGCCTCCTCCGGGACGACCCCCAGCCCTCCGGGGCCGCCTCCTCCAGGACGCCCCCCAGCCCTCCAGGACGCCCTCCCCCCGGAGTCCGCCCCAGGACGCCTCCTCCACGACGCCCCCCAGAGCCCGCCCCGGCCGCCTCTTCCAGGACGACCCCCGGGGCCCGCCCCAGGCCGCCGCCAGGGCCGACGCTCGACAGCCCCGGGACCCGCGCGGAGGCCCTCCGAGCCCGGGGCGCCGGCCCGTGCGGCGCAGGCCTCGGCGGGCGGCGCCGCGGCCGGGAGGCGGCCGCAGCGCTTACTGCTTGACGTTGTCCCCCAGCGCCTCGCTCAGGTTCTTCTTGGCCGCCTCCAGCTCGCTCACAAAGGTCGCCATGGCCCCGCGCGCTCCGCCCGCCCGCGCACGCCGGCCGCGGCGCCCAGCAACCGCGAAACCAACTGGGCGGAAGGCGTCGTCCGGACACGCAGGCCCGCCCCGCCCCGCCCGCGACGTGCGTCTGGTTTTCGGCTCCGCCCGCCCGGCTGTCGGGAAGGCGCGCGGCCGCGCTCGGGTCACGTGACCCGTCCGTCGCGCGTCCCGCCGGGAGGCTGTGCCGCCGGGCAGGTGTCGCGGTCGGCGCGCGCCCGCCGGGGCCTGGAGGTGGCCCGCCGCCCCACCCAGGCCGAGCCGAGCAAGGCGGCGCCTCCTCCGCCGCCGCCTCCCGGCCCTGCGGAGCCTGGCCCGCGGGACGCCCTGCACGACCCCGAGGGAGGCGGGCGGGCGGACGTCCAGCCGGGGCGCCCTCGCCCCCGGGACTGCAGACCTACTGTGTTCACTTGGCGCGTTTTAGCACCGGGGGTGTCACTTGTCCTAGGACGTTGCCTTTGACTGAGTACCAGGCCCGTTTCCCGATTCCCAGGCGGGGTGGTCCGCTTTTCCACTAACGCAGCACTGTGGTTAGCGTCTTTACGCACAGAGCCCTCCCTCACTTCGGGTTGTTGATTTAGGGTAGAGACCCACAAATGCAATTAGGAAATCGGATGACAGGAGTGTTTGCAAGTGCCCTTGTGCCCATTGTCAAATGCCTCCCCAAATTTCACAAGAACCTACATCAAGCCAGAAGCTAATCATCCTACAAGTCGTGGAACTTACACGTTCACGGGCTTCATCTCTGGCCCCACCTAGCCCTGCCAGCCTGCTGCTACCCACAGGGCCACGGCTTTCCTGGCTGCACTGAATCCACTGGCGAGCTCCTTCCTCCCGGTGTCTGGCACTCCGGGTGTTGGGGATGCAAAGGTGAATGAGGAAAGTGAAGTCTTTCTGCGTCATAAAACTCCAGAGAAATTGTGACCTTATTATTCTCCTCTGTGAACAGCTCTCCCTGGCTGCCTGGGGTCTGCTAACTTGCCTCTTCGTCTGGCACGTGTCCTTGCTTTCTTGGCCTTCTGCATGGTATTCTAACCTGACTTTCTAGAGCAATGGCATCAAACAGTCCTTTTGCACACATCTCCCCCTTTCTGGTTTTGAGACTTGTGGTCTCAGTCAAGTTCAAACATATATGTGAATGCTAAAGGGACTGTCCAACAGGACAGGCTGACTCCTCTATCTCCACCTACCCACCAAGAAAGACAGTCTTGAAGATTTTGTTTTGAGCCCCCTTTGACATGCCTACATCTGTTAAATTTTCCTTTATTATTAGATGATATAAACAATAGACATCTGATCTAACAAGGTGCTTAATAGAATGAATACTAGAACCACTTCTAATTTGATAGTTTTAAAAAAAAACTAATTCTAAATCTCTTAGTTACAGCAGAGCTTGCACAATGCATATGTTGTGTAGGCAATTCTTCAATGCCTTCAGAGCACGTGTGTGGAAGCGCTTTATGAGATGTAAAGAACTTGACAAATGTTACTTTAGTGTTTTTAAATCTATTTTTCAGACCATCCCATAGTGGTCACCTGCTATAAGTGGGTCGAATGTAACTAGTGGAGTTGACTCAATAGGAAGTTGGACACAGACATAATCTAAGGGTCAGACCTTGCCTAATATTAAGAACAGTCATTCCTCCCCATCTGTGGCCCCACATCCATGGAGAATATACTTGGGAAAATCATAGTATCTGTATGAACATGTGCAAACATTTTTCTTGTCATTCCTTTAAAAAATGCAATTATTTACATACCATTTACATTTTGCTAGTTTTGTAAGTAATCTGGAGATGATTTTAAATGTGGGAGGATATGTGTAGATAATACAGTACAACACTTCAGGTGAGGAACTTGAGTGTCCAGAGTTCATTATGGGGGTCGTCAACCAATCCAGCACAGACAATGACCAACAGCTGTCCTAAGGAATATGAGTGTATATGTATGTGTTCTCATTTAAAATCTGAATTTCCACTATTTACATTATCAATATGTTTTAATCCATTTTATTAGGATGGATAATTGAAGATGGATGGTATTGGGATCATTCTTACATCTTACCTGTTTTTATGTAACTTCTTTCCCTCATAAAGATAATTGTATGCAAACACAATACAAAGAAAAAGTGCCTGAAGAGTTTATTTTCACAGCTATTTTACTTATATAGTCATAAAAACTTGGCCTCTGCTTGCTTCTTTCCTTCCTCTCAGTTCTATACTTTTTAAAGCACTGGTTGGTTTCCTTTGATTTTTTTTCATTAAGATCTTTCTGTTGTAAGAACACTTGGCGATTTTAAGTGTGCATCACTGCTGACTCTAGGTACAAGGCGAACAGCAGACCTCCAGTGCCTCAGTCGGCTGGACTGAAGATCTGTTATCAGTATCTCCCTGTTTCCCCTCCCCCAGTTCCTGCTAACCACCATTCTGTCGTGATTTTATGAATTAGATTACTTTACATGACTTCCGTAAGTGGATCATGCAGTATTTAGCTTTGGGTGACTTTATTTCACTTAGCATGATGCCCTCAAGTTTCCTCCTTGTCACATGTTGGAGAATTTCCTTCTTTTCCAAGGCTGAGTAGTACTCTGTTATAATATATATCACATTTTTTTATCATTCACCTTTCAACAGACAGTGATGTTGGTCACATCTTGACCATTGTCAATAGAATAGCAATAAGTGTGGGAGTAGTAATATCACTGTAAGACCCTGATATCAGGATATTTAGATAAAACCTGGGAGTGGGATTGCTTGATCGTATGGCAGTTCTACTTTTAATTTTCTGCTGTCCCTGCAGTCGCCCAGTGCAGCTGCCCCATCTGCCTTCCCCCTGAAATGGGGGGCAGGGGTTCCTGTTTCCCCTCCTCACCAACACTTGCCTTTTGTTGGTGTTGACAGGGGTTCTATAAGTGATTGTTCTCTCCCAGACACGATAGATGTTTAGGTTCTTTAGAGCTGTCTGTGGCCCAGTGACCCGGCCTGACGAGGGCTGAGACCCACAGGAGAGCTGACCGGTTAGGTTAGAGTTGACTCCTCACCTCTTCTCTAAGCATGGCCAGCAGACGTCTGCCCTCCCCCGTTCCAGACGTCAGCAGCTCCGTCACTGCGAGGACGCTGGGGCCAGCCTTTACATTTCCCCACTGGGCTTGCTGGGAGAGCACTTGCTGCCTCTCTCGGTGCCCGCTGTGGCACCTGTGGTGCAGGCACAGGGACACTGAACACGGGGTGCCTGCACAGACGGACACGTTGGGGTATGAGGGGCTCAGGCTCAACAGAAATGTAAGAATTAAATATTTTTAGAGAATTCTATATGATGTTTACCCCATCTACCTCTGTATCAATCTATAGATGGTAACAGAGTTAAAGTTTATGGATTTGGAATCTATTACACCCTAGTAAATTCATGGCTTAAAACGGATTTGCAGCCTCCTTGCCACAGCATTGCATACCCTGTGTTTATTTTACGTCGTCCAGAGGAGGCTCTTAATCTTACTTGTTTGTTTTTAATGCCACGGGCTTTACTGGCTATCTGGTGACGACTTGGAGCCCTTCTGGGAATAACACTTTAAAATCCATAAATTATATAGGATTACATTTAAACCAGTTTGATTGAAACAGCTATGTCCATGGACCCTTTAAGGTCCAGAGACCCCAGCTTGAGACCCTCTGAAGCATTTTAGGTGCCGCCGTAGTTTACTCAGACTGCAGGGCTTCAGCAGCAGAAACTCGTGATCTCATAGTTTGGGAGGCTAGAAGTCCATGACCAAGGGCTGGCAAGTGGGGTGTCTGGGGAGGCTCCTTCCTAGCCTGTAGCCTCGCTGCAGCCATCCACAAGCCACATGGCTTTTCCTGCTGCGTGATCATGGAAGGAGAGAGGAAGAGTGGGCTCTCTGGAGATTCTTCTTATCAGGATGCTAATCCTGTCCAATCAGGGGCCCACCTTACAACCTCATTCCACATTGGTTACCCTCTTAGAGGCCCCTCTCCCAAAACAGTCATGCTGAAGGTCACAGCTCCAACCTGTGAAGTCGGGGGCACAAACCTTCAGTCTATGGCAGTACTACAGAGAGTACGACGTTTCCACTTCCTTTTCTCAAGTGACCCTGGGGACCAAAGTCCCAGGACCCTGAAAAACGGAGTGTGTCTAAGGACTCAACCCCCAAGGCACAGAAAAGTGAGCACTGTTTTTCAATGCGTCTCGAGTCTCTCGTGGGTGTAATCAAATCGATCAGAGCATTTTTCCTAGAGTTAGGGAGTCAGAACAGAGAAGGAATTAAGGAATAGAAGGAGTAGGCATGATCTCTGCACACAGGTGGAGACAACTAGAAGCCAGTCAACTGTGTACTTTAGAAAATGCAAAGAATTCTACAAATATTAGTGTTTTCAATCCACTTGTGGAATTATCCTGTAGATATTCTCGTTCTCCCACCAGCGACGTACAAGTCAAATTACAAGTGTAACTTCCAACTCCAGAACAGAGGTGCCAAGAGGGAGAATAGAGGGCCGGGCGGGGCCCTACCTAAGCTTCTGCCCACAGGAAGTAGCCAGCTGCTATGGTCTGGTCAAGAGTCCCCCAAAGGCCCTGTATTGAAGGCTAGGTCCTCCACTCTGTGGAAACTGTGGGGGTTCTGGGGGGAGAAAGGCAGGTCACTGGGGGTGTGCCCTTGCGGGGATGCTGGGACCCCAAGCCCCTCTTCCTCTCTCTGCCCAGCCCTGGGGAGCAGCCTTGCTCCACCGCTCTCCCCACCCTGCCAGGTTGCCTATGAGCAATGGGGCCAGCTGGACTGAACCCTCCAGCTGTGAGCCCAAAAGAGCTTTCCCTCTTGTCATTGATTGCTCTCAGGTGTGTATTACAGTAGCAGAAAGCTAGCACGTCCACCACGGGCACCGTCCCAAGGCTGCCCCTGGGGATCTGTACGTCCTGAAGAGCCTCAGAAGGAGCTCTCCGTTCCTCTTCTCACTCCAGGAGCCTGCCAGGTCCCTTTGGCTCCAAGATGGCCGT